TTTTTCATTTGACACCGGCTTTTTTCCTTCTTTCACCTCCGTTCGTTGGTTTGTCCTTACTGCAATCTGATAACAGGTTCTTGACAGCCTCTGGTCCCCTCGGGCCTCCCTTACCTTATCCCCGACGGGGAACTTTAGCTTCATATGATAGGTTGACACTACTGCATGGAATGTGTTGAGTGCTGGCCTTCCCAGAATCACATTATAAGCCGACTCGACGTCGACCATGACAAATCGCACCATTTTCACCTTCCTCAAGTCGCCTTCCCCGAGGACGACAGCGAGAGTGGTTTCCCCCAGGGTTGCGACTTCTGAGCCATTAAATCCAAAAAGTGAAGTGTGGAGAGGTGAGAGTTCAATGTCAAGTTCCATCCGTTTAAGGCAATCGAAAAAAATCACATTCACCGAGCTCCCTGTGTCGACAAAGATTCTCTGGACTTCATAGCTCGATGTCTGAGCTGTGATCATCAAGGCATCGTTATGAGGTCTCTCGACCGCTCCCATGTCTGCTGGTCCAAAATTCATCACTGGACCATTTTCCTCGACCTGTTGCACTTCGGTCTTTCTGTGATGCCCTCGAGCGTATGCTTTTCTAGCCCGATTTGAATCACCATCGGTTGGCCCTCCGAATATCATATGAATTACTCCTCTTTTCTGGGGAAGCTCCTCCTTATCGGGTGTTCTTGCCCTCTTGTGAGGGCTTTTGCTTCTCTCCCCTCGCCGACTGGTTCGTTCTCGATCTTTATAAAGGAATTCCTTCAGATGGCCTGCTTTGATTAGTCTCTCGATTTCATTCTTTAGGTGCCGACATTCATCGGTGTTATGGTCGTAGTCTTTGTGAAATCGACAATAAAGGTTACTTTTAGGCTTTGTCGGCCCATCTTTTCTCGTCCGTGGCCACCTGACAATGTTATCACGGATCTCTCTCTCCATAACCTCCAGTATCCTTGCATGTGAGGCCGACAGAGGAGTATATTGGGCTGTCCTCCACCCCCTTGATCGTCCTTCTCTTTCGGTCCTCGGGGATCCCTTCCTTTCAGTTGTCGCGACAAGCTTTTTATCCTTCTTCTTCTCGTCCCGAGGCTCAGTTTTTGGCTTAGCTGCTTGCAGAAAGACGGCTTCGGCTTCCTCGACATTCATGTATGTGGCGCACCTTCCAATACTTCATCGAACGTCCTTCCGGGCCGCTTCGCTAGGGAATTTCTGCACAATCCCGGGAGTAGCCCTCGAGTGAGTCCTCCCGACTTGATCTCCTCAGTGGCCGAGGGGACGTCGACACACGCCCGTGTGTACCTCGCCACGTTGTCCCTCAATGATTCCCCTTCCTTCTGATGCATACCTATCAAAGTAAGGTACGACTTTTCTTGGGCTTTTACACTTTCGAATTGGTTTAGGAAGCTCGAGCTAAATCCATCGAAATCCCTGACGGCCCCCGGGGGCAATTGATGAAACCAATCCTGCGTGGGCCCTCGCAGGGTCGTCAGGAATGCTCGACACTGAACGGGGTCGTTGTATCGGTGCAATACTGCCATGTTTTTTAAACTTCTGAGATGTCGAGAGGGATCAGTCGACCCGTCATACCAAATGTTAAGCTCCCTGAACCCTTGAGGCAAATCGGCATCTAAAATATGTTGTGAAAAAGGGTGTCCCCTCGAGCTTCCCGTTTTTCTTCCTTCCACCCGAGCCTGCAAGTCTCGGACCTGTGCTAACAGCTGCTCCAGCGTGTCGTTTCTGGCTTGTGGATTAACGGTTCTGACAGAGGACTCCTCCTCGTCTACCCTCCTGTTCTGCCTTTCATGTCATTGTGTCTGTTGTTCGCGTTTAGGAGGTTGCTGCTCATTTTGAGGTTGTTCGATCCTAGCTTGCTCGATTCGGGGTTGCTCCACCCTGGGTTGTTCGACTGGTGTTTGTTTGATTTGGGCAGCCACAGCTTCGGCAATCATCCTCTGCATCTCGCCCCGTGTTATGGTCAGCATTTGCTCCTCGCCTTGCGGCAGCGATCTCTGTCCTGGCTCGAGCGGTCCAGGCTGCTTTCCCAGACTTAGGAGCGTCTCGATTGACTCACGACCGTTGACTTCTCCGCTCGTGCTCCTCACGTGACTGGTCTCCCCTTGAGTGAGCACTGGGATCTTGACTCCTGGTGGGGTGATAGGCGTTTCTTCCCCCATACGCCCTCATGATGGCGCGTGTGCCCCAAACGGTGGGAAACCGAATACTTGGAGCGGTGGTCTGGGGTTGGGGATCGGCAGAGGTTGCTTGTCAGTCCATGCCGCCCTGAAATCTTCATTCAAGTTTTTCTGCGGTCCTTCCTTGCCAGCCATCGGAAACAGATCCAAACTAGGTGTAAAGCTCTTACTTCCTTCAAGAACTCCCCACAGACGACGCCAAAATGATGGGTCTCTTCTTAGATCTGGAACGGTCCAATGGGAAAACGTCCAGATCTGGGATGAACCGATGCGAATGAGCTTAGATCTGATGTGATGGCGTTCGAACCGTTGTTGAGCCGCAAGAACACCTACAAGAACTCAACGCCGGAGGGGTTTCCGGCGTAGAGCCTCCGACGCTCAAGTCAGCATATAAAAGAGATGAATGGAGCTGCTCTGAGAGCAGTAGCAGTAATGAAAAGAATATGGAATGAATGGGAGTTAGGGTTTTGGGATTACCTCAGTCCTTCATATAGAAGTGCAACATTTACCTGAAGTCCCCAAAGTGCCCCGGCCGACTTACTGGAAATGTCCAGAATACCCCGGTCGGTTCGTATTTTGCCTACTTCCTAGTCAGCATCTAGATCCTTCCTTAGCTTCCTTCTTATCCTTAACTCTCCCTCAATACGCTGAGGTGTGTCACAGCTATCGAGAACCAAGAACTGCAAGACTCCTTCAGTCGACCTGAGATATTGAGTCGAGTCGACTGGATCGCATTCAACCGTTAGTGGACCCTGATACGTCTGACTGTTGTCTTGCCAGAAATCGACTTATTCTAGTCGACAGGTGTACGTCGACTCGGTTGAGAGCCGGGATTCTTGACTGAGTATCGTGGAACCTTACTGGCGGAGTCGACTGTGTTGAAGTCGACTTGATAGTTTCGAACAGTGATGATATGAACCGTTATGAGCCAGTGTGGCTATATCAGCAGGTATGCACTTGCTCAGATATTTGAAGGGAACACCAACACTGGGACTTTTCTATGCAGACAAGACTTCTATGCAGTTGGAAGCATTTTGTGATGTAGACTGGGGGGGATATGCTATCACTCGACGGTCATTGACAGGTTATTGTATTTTCTTGGGGCAAGCATTGATCTCTTGGAAAACTAAAAAGCAAAGGACTGTGTCAAGTTCATCCTCTGAAGCGGAGTACAGATGCATGGCTTCAACAGTTTGTGAATTGCAGTGGCTCACTTACTTGGCAAATGATCTCGGGTTGCCCTTTTCTACTCCTATCTCTCTTTGGTGTGATAACAAGGCAGCTTTACATATCTCTGCCAACCAAGTTTTCCATGAACGAACGAAGCATTTGGACATTGATTGTCATGTTGTTCGTGATCAATATAAAGCCGGTCTCATTTTACCTCAGCACATCTCCTCTTCCCTTCAACCGGCTGATGTGTTCCCAAAATCCCTTGGTGGTGCTGACTTTTCTCGGTTCATTTGCAAGCTTGGAATGTGGTTGCCTCCCCCCATTCCTGCTTGAGGGGGGGTGTTGGAATTATGGAGCTTAATGTGATTGATCGTGCATGGTTTATGTTCATGCAGAGTGTTTTAGCATTTTATCTGTCATTACTCCTTTTATCTGAAGTCGCGCTACACTTACTAAGTCGCACTTCTTTTCCGTTGTTACTTTCTTCTTGTCACGTGTTTTAGTTATTGGCACATGTGTTATCTTTCTATTAGCTTCTCTGTTCCCCACGTGATATAAGTGTGTTAGCTGGGGGTTTTCTACTGTAATTTTGTATTGAACATTTACAGAGCTCCAAGCTCAACTTTAATGGTGATCTAGGTTTTGTATATTTTGTTGGTGATTTCAACGATTATTTGACATATTAACTCAAGTTTACATATATATGCATACAAAACATGTGTATGTAAATGCAAGATACAGTTTATAATCACTGAATGTAATTTAAAGTATAATTTTTATACTATTTTACAAAATGGGAATGTAGAGTCATGAGACTTATCTTTACCCCTTTTGGTAGTGTCGAGAGCTCGAAGCAGAGCTTTGGAGCTTGTAAAAAGCAGATCTTTTTCTGTAAAGCTAGTGATTTTTGATTCACTCACCCATTGTTAATTTGCCTGCCCTTTGTCCTTTTTTCTCAGCTACATGTGTGTGCTCATTAAAGGTCTTCATTTTTCAACCTTACACACATTTCTTTTGCAGCATCTTTATCAAAAAGTTATAAAAGGTTTGCAATTTTGCTGTCTGCCCATTACAATTTAAAGAGATTTCCTAATATAGATGCAAGGTTTGACATCAATTTTAAAAGGGAAAATAATGGTGAAAATTGTTTACTTTGATTATTTTAATTCTTTATGGGCTGCTGCCGAGTGACAAAAGTCCTTGGCTTTCTGGTTAAACTTGTAGAATTTACGGGTCATGTGAGGAAGTTGGCTTCGAAAGTCGAGGTTAACAAACAAATCTAGTATTTTATTCGAATTCGTGCTCTGAGTTTTTCAACTTTCAGAATCTTGAAAGCTTTCTTTTCACAAGTTTACCATTTTTGACTCGAAAGTTTCTCAATTTTTGTCTGCCCTTTTGCCTCTGTGCGTTTTTTATGCGACCTGAGAGATGTTTGAATGCCTTTCTAGCTGAAAAGTCCACGCTCGGACGGTTGATTTCTCTGGGTCTNNCTCGGACGGTTGATTTCTCTGGGTCTTTTAAAAAAAAAACTCCAAGATTCTGCACTTGATCGAATTATTTCAGATTTGAAGGCTTCCAAATCTAGCCATGGCGTAGAAGCGTCATCGTCGGTAAAAGAAATATCTTCCTCCTAGCAAAAAAATGGAGAATAACGAGGCAGATAACTGGAGGGATATGGTCACGAAGATGCTCCCACCAGGTGCCCCTATCCCGGACGACGACAAAATGGACTACTCGATAGCCCTCGAGTACAATGGGCCTCCGGTACCTTACGACAACATCCCAAAGGCCGAGCCCCTCGACTTGAACCCGGCCCAATCCCAACTGCCGACCCTCTTTCGGAGTCTAGACGATCCGTGGCCCGCGACTCTGCCCCTGTGATCGAGCCTATCCCCCTCCCTAGAAGAAGACTGTCCCAGAGCACCGAGTCAGTTGTGTCCGTTTTGCAGAACGATGATTTCTCTTCACGATTGGGCTCGGGCTCGGGCTCGCCGGGCTCGGTCCACAGCTGGCAAGACGGGCCACTCCCTCCAAACGAGGCAAGGCGGCCTATGGTGGTGACTTTCAACACGGCTGATAGGTCTGAGCGGCAATTGGCCGATAGGGAAAAGCAGATTTTCCCCGAATTTGTGGTGGGCTTAGCCAAGGAGAAGAAGAAGAAGAAGAAGAAGAAAAAGAGGAAAAAGGCGAGGGTTTGCTATAGGTGCGGGAAAGGGAAGTGGGAGATTAAAGAAATATTGCAGCAACTGTTTGCTCCGGGCCATGGGCTCGATGCCCGAAGGACGTAAGTGCGTGACGTGTATAGAGGAGCCGATTGACGAGGTGAAGAGGTGCAGATTGGGTAAGCACTCGAGGCTTTTGTCTCGTTTGCTCAGCCCATTGGAGGTTAAGCATATCATGAAGGCCGAGAAGGAGTGTGCAGCCAATCAGCTCCGGCCGGAGCAGTTGATTATGAACGGGTATCCTTTGAAGACGGAGGAGATGGCGGAGCTTTTCGGGTGCCCTTTGCCGCCTAGGAAGTTGAAGCCGGGCACGTATTGGTATGATAAGGAATCAGGTCTTTGGGGAAAGGTAAAAATAACAGATTTTTTGTATACTCAATTTTTTTTTCATTTATTGTTTTTTAAATAAGTGAGGGAAAATGTGGTCATTCAGTTTGTGGTGTGTTCAATTTGACAGGAGGGAGAGAAGCCTGATAGAATTATTAGTTCGAATTTGAATTTTACGGGTAAACTAAGCCCGAGCGCGAGCAATGGGAATACTGAGGTGTACATGAATGGTCGAGAAATTACGAAGCTTGAGCTGAGAATACTGAAGGTTGGTAAATCTGGGAATTTACCAAGTCTGACTGTGTTTTGTCAATTGTTTTATGTTGATGCAACAAAAAACCTGGAGAAATGGGGGTGCTTTACACTAATGTAAAGTTGTAGCTCTTTGCTGAAGCATCTTTTATCTCTTTAACTTTGTTAGAGTGACTGCTGTGGCAATATTGTTTTTCGATAAAGACTGAAAAGCTTGCTTATATATACTTCAATTGAGATTGGCACGGTAATTTAATTTAGAAATTTGTTGTCAAGTATTTGAATCAAATGCTCATCAGTTTGTTGATTTCTATATTATGTCAACCCAAAGCTCAAGTATAGATTAGTCTAAATAATTGTTAGGTATATAGGAAATTCAATCAATCAATGCTTGTATTCAGCTTGCAAATGTACAATGCCCTCGTGATACCCATTTTTGGGTGTATGATGACGGTCGATATGAAGAGGAAGGCCAAAATAATATCAGAGGAAATATCTGGGAAAAGGTTAGATTTCAAGAGAAAAAATATGATTATCTTAAATAAATTACAACTGTAGAGGCATTTTTTTTCAGTGGAATCATGTTTAGCGACATCTCAAATCTTATCACTTTAGGCATCAACTCGGTTCGTGTGTTCCTTGTTCTCTCTGCCTGTTCCTCAAGGTCATCCTCATGGGCTAAAGGATGAGCCTAGCAACTACACGACTGTACCGAGTTATCTTGAGCCGAAAAAAAGTTTCAGAAGCTTCTTCTTTTTGGACTGCAAGGCTCTGGTACCAGCACCATTTTCAAGCAGGTAGTTTTAATTGAGTTTCAAAAATGGTGATGTTATATACAACTACTAAGCAGTCAAAGCTGTCAATATTCCTGTGCTCACATTAATCAGAAGAAAAAATATGTTAAGAAAATGTTATAATTGTTTACTCCATTTCTTATCCTTAATCAATTTCTCGGTTCCCTGCTCTTTTTTTTTTTTTTCCTCCTCTCACTGAACAGGCCAAGTTTTTGTACGGGAGCAAGTTTACCCCTGAGGAACGACAGGATATGAAACTCATGATCCAGAGCAATATGTACAAGTATCTCAGCATCCTGCTTGATGCTCGAGAACGTTTTGAGGAGGAAGATTTATTAGAGAGAAGAAGGCAAGCTTCTGACGATGAATCTGCTGAAGCAGGTATCATATCAAACAAAGAACTCTTGGAAAATTATGTCTTAGGTTATCTCAGTAATAGGTTTTCAATAAATGATGAAACTTTGGTTTTTTGCTGCCATAAGAGTTTGCTTTTCTACCTTTTTTTCTTTTCTTTTCTTTTCTCAAAGTCTTACCTATTTGGGTATTTGAATATGGTCTTTGTATTATTGTTGTATGAAGCGAAAAGTATGACAAAAACTTGATTTTTTATGGTTCAGTAACTATTGTTAGTACTGTTATTAAAAAAAATTCATTTTGTACTGCTTTCACTTCATTTCGTGATTTGGTTTCTTTAAGTTTTTGCAGAGGTAAATAACCAATGCATTTATTCTCTCAACCCAAGATTGAAGCACTTTTCTGACTGGCTGCTCGACATAATTGCCACTGGGGATTTGGATGCATTTTTCCCAGCAGCAACACGCGAATATGCCCCGCTTGTTGAGGAAGTATGGAAAGATCCTGCTATTCAGGAGACATAAGAGAAAGAATGAACTCCACTTTCTTCCAAACGTAACCGAGTACTTCTTGAGCAGGGTATATTCTTCATCACTTTAAAGCTGAGTGTTTTAGTGTAATTTAGAGAGAGAGGGCTTGTGTGATATTGCTTCTGCGTTATCTTCGAATAATATATTATCTGGTCTTCTTGAAAGCTTAATCAAATTCGATTCAGTTACCAAATCTTTTTTTT